CAATGGAGACCAGCTTGATGTGCTCCCGGTCCAGGAACTCCAGCGCCACCGACACGTTCTCCAGCTTCATCTGCCTGAAGTTGGGGCGCGCGTGGTACTTGCGGTACATCTTCTTCTGGCTGAGCACCTCCAGGAGGCCGATCAGCTTCAGCCCGTCGCTCAGGTCCTTCTGCAGGTCGCCGATGCGCTTGTGCATGCACTTCAGGTGCTCGTTACACCAGCGGGTGAAGGTGTTCTGTTGGATCTTCTTCCAGGGCGCGTCTTCGGCCAGGTCCTTCTCCGTGGCCGGCATCTCCTCTTGTTGGGGTTCCTCGCCCGGCTGGTAGTAGCCCTGGGGGGGCTGCTCGTAGTAGCTGTTGCTGTTCATGGCGGCGGGGTTCCGGCAATCCCGGCGGGGGTCGGCGGGGGGCTGCGCGCGAGACGAACTTGCTGCGGGAAAGCGAAGAAGAAGAAGGAGGAGGAGGAGAAAAAGGAAAAACGCGAAGAGGCACCGGAGACAGGAGGGAAAGTGCCCGGCTTAAGAGTGAAAGTGCTCAAAAGTGAAAGCGGTCAGCCCCCTTGGCCTGGCTTGGCTGGCGTGGGGGAGTTTTTTTGGGGGGGGGGTCCGCTTTCTTGCCTCTCCCGGTTCTCGAAACTCCGCAAAAAACTTTTTTTCCCCGCAAAAAAGAGTTGCCCCCAAAAGCGTAAGAATTTCAGCACCCGGAGGAGCGGCGTTGGGTTGAATTGGGCTGGGCTGACGGCCGGGGTGGGGTCCTCTTTGTCTTCGGGACTCTGAAGAGGAGGGGGCGGGCAGGGGGGTCCCCTTCTGGTCTGACGGCTCGGCTCGGGCTTTGGTTTGCTGGGCGTCCCCCGGCCGAAGGCGCAGGCGAGCTCATTCAAAAGTGGAAGGTCCGGGACGAAGGAGGGGTGTTTTAAAAGGCTCCGCCAGCCCCTCGCCCCCCCGCCCCCGCCCCTCGCCCCACGTCAGGAGGAAGGACCGCCAGGAATGCCTGCGCGCCCCGGGACCCATCGACAAGTAAGGGATGATGGGGCGAAGTTTCTTTGCCACGCGCCCCCCGCCCCGGCCAGATAATCCCAGCGCTGGGGATTGGCCGCTATGGATAGCAAGCGGAGGGGATTGGCTCCACCCGCAGCGGGACCCCCACCCCCAGCCCCCCCCTCCCCTCCCCTTCCGCAGGCCGGAACGCCAGGGGTATCTCAGCGGCTATTTTTAATTCCCACCCGCCAGGAAAGGAAGGTTGGGGAGGAGGTGGGGGGGGTCTTTTCTTGGCCTGAGGATGGAAAAAGCGTGCCGGGGTTTTTGCTGATGGAGAGAAGAGGGTTGTAGGGGAGGGGGGTTGCAAAAAGGGTTGGGGGCACCCCCAAACGGGGGGAGGGGGAGGGGGTGCCTGCCAAGGGAGCCCCCCGAAAAGTAGCCCTGCAAAAAAGCAGTTGGAAAGCCTCCCCTTCCCCCCCCCCCGCCTCCTGACCGGATGGTTGATTGACGAGTCATTTCTAAGTTTTCAGATTTGACCTGGGTGGTTCAAGGGATGATTGAAGAGTTTTCCAAACGTCTCAGCCCACAGCTTGGGCTCTCTCTCTCTCTCTCCCTCCCTCTTTCTCTCTCTCTCTCTCCCTCCCTCCCTCTCTCTCCCTCCCACCCTCTCTCTCTCCCTCCCTCCCTCCCTCTCTCTCCCTGCCTCCCTCCCTCCCCTCTCTCTCCCTCCCTCCCTCTCTCTCTCTCCCTCCCTCTCCTCCTCTCTCTCCCTCTCCCTCTCTCCCTCCCTCTCTCTCTCCCTCCCTCCCTCCCTCTCTCCCTCCCTCCCTCTCTCTCTCTCCCTCCCTCCCTCTCTCCCTCCCTCCCTCTCTCTCTCTCTCTGTATACAACAGTGCTTCACTCTGCAGAGGCAGTAGCAGCCTGAACTGGATGTTGAAAACTTAAAGCAGCTCAAAGTCTTATCAATTTCTGTTCTTGGGGTTGGTCACAGTCGGCCAGATGTTCAGGCTGGATCTGGCATTTTTGTCCACTTCCCCAGGCCTTCCCAAGGACTTGGGACAGCCAGATGTGGAAGTTTGAGGGGGATTAAAGGCCTCAGGATGTCAGCTGTTCCCAGCAAAGCTGCCTTTTGCAATTGACTGGTATTGTCAATGTCCATATTAGTTATTATGGTTGAATGCAGAGTCAGCCAGATGTTCAGGCTGGATCTGGCTTTTTGTCCACTTCCCCAGGCTTTCCCAAGGACTTGGGATAGCCAGATGTGGAAGTTTGAGGGAATTAAAGGCCTCATTCGCAGGATGTCAGCTGTTCCTAGTCAAGATGCCTTTTGCAATTGACTGAGGGGGATTGTGTCAGGGATGATGGCGTTTAAGCGGTACTCCAGATGTTTTGGCATTGCAGCCAAGGCAATATTAATTGTATATACAACTGTGTGAAATCACAACAATCACCCATTCTTTAGCTGATGTTGGCCTTCATAAGCGTCAAGTCCTTCTCCAAGAATTTAGCAATAGCAATAGCCCTTAGACTCATATATTTTATTTATTTTATTTATTTATTTTATTAAATTTGTATACCGCCCTACTCCCGAAGGACTCAGGGCGGTGAACAGCCATGGAATAAAACATATAAATACAAAATTTAAAATAGATTAAAACAAATTAAATAATTTGGCTGAACAAAGTTAAAACCCCAATAATTTAAAACCAGATTTAAAATTTCCATTTAAAAAGGGGAAAGACTTAGGTCAGGCCGGCTTGGTGAAATAGGAAGGTCTTTAGAGCACGGCAGAAGGTGCGCAGATCCGGGATCCTCCGTATCTCTGGGGGGAGCTCGTTCCAGAAAGCAGGTGCCCCCACAGAGAAGGCTCTCCCCCTGGGGGCCGCCAGTCGGCATTGTTTGGCTGACGGCACCCGGAGGAGCCCCTCTCTATGGGAGCGTACTGGTCGGTGGGAGGCTACTGGTGGCAGCAGGCGGTCCCGTAGATAACCAGGTCCTAAGCCATGGAGCGCTCTAAAGGTGATGACCAAAACCTTGAAGTGCACTCGGAAGACCACCGGGAGCCAGTGCAGCTCGCGCAGGAGAGGTGTTACATGGGAACGCCACGTCGCTCCCATCACCACCTGCGCGGTTGCACTCTGCGCCAGTTGGAGCCTCCGAGTGCTCCTCAAGGGGAGCCCCATGTAGAGAGCGTTAAAATAGTCCAGGCGGGAAGTGACGAGGGCGTGAGTGACCGTGCGTAATGAGTCCCGATCCAGAAAGGGACGCAACTGGCGGATCAGGCGAAACTGATGAAAAATCCTCCTGGTCACGGCCGTCAAGTGCTCTTCTAAAGACAGCTGTGAATCCAGGAGGACGCCCAAGTTGCGAGCCCTCACCACTTCACAGGGCTTTGCAGCCCTCTCTAAGCGGTTTACAGAGACAGCCGCTTGCCCCCCAACAATCTGGGTCCTCGTTTTACCAACCTGAGAAGAACGGAAGGCTGAGTCAACCTTGAGCCAGTCAGGATCGAACTGCTGGCAGTCGGTAGAGTTTGCCTGCAATTCTGCATTCTAACCACTGGGCCACCAGGGCTCTTTTTAAAGGTTTTAGGATGGTGTAACGTATCAGTATAATATCTGTGTGGATCCAAGCTGGGTGCTCTTTTGAAATTGACAGATCCAAAGATTGTCAATGCCCAGATTTTCTAAGTGCCATGTAAGATTTTTTTGGTATAGCATTGAATGTGCTGATAACCGCTGGGATCACTACAGCCATAATCTCAATGTATCAATGAATCAATCAGAATAGAGTTGGAAGGGACCTTGGAGGTCTTCTAGTCCAGCCCCTTGCTCAAGTAGGAAACCCTATACCATTTCAGACAAATGGTTGTCCAGTCTCTTCTTGAAAACCTCCAGAGATGGAGCACCCACAACTTCTGGTGGCAAGGAGTTCCACTGGTTAATTATTCTCACTGTCAAAAAATTTCTCCTTCGTTCTAGGTTGCTTCTCTCCTTGATTAGTTTCCATCCATCGCTTCTTCTCCTGCCTTCAGGTGCTTTGGAGAATAGGTTGGCCCCCTCTTTGAAAATTTCTCAACCTCGATTTTCAGATTTTTTACTATATTATTTTGTGTTCTTCTTTCTCTTCTAACTTGCTCATTTTTTTTTACTGCTTTTTCAAGTCTTATTTATGTTCTCACCACTTTTTCATTACTGGCCCTTGATCATTTTTACAGATGTTCCAGTGAATCATTCTGGCAACCGTCTCCTCTTATTGTTTATAATCAGTTTGTGCAAACTTTATTTCACTTATTTAATGTAGAACAGGGTAGTGTTTATGGTATGGTATGGTATGGTATGGTATGGTATGGTATAGTATAGTATAGTATAGTATAGTATAGTATAGTATAGTATAGTATAGTATAGTATAGTATAGTATAGTATAGTATAGTAAATATAATGTAATGTAATGTAGTATTATTGTTGTTAGTCGTAAAGTCGTGTCTGACCCATCGCGACCCCATGGACCATGTTCCTCCAGGCCTTCCTGTCCTCTACCATCCTCTGGAGTCCATTTAAGTTCACACCGACTGCTTCAGGGACTCCATCCAGCCACCTCCTTCTCTGCCGTCCCCTTCTTCTTCTTTTGCCCTCCATCTTTCCCAGCATTATTAGGCTCTTCTCCAGGGAGTCCTTCCTTCTTTCTCATTAGGTGGCCAAGGTATTTGAGTTTCCTCTTCAGGATCTGGCCTTCTAAAAGCAGTCAGGGTTGATCTCCTCTAGGACTGACCGGATGGATCGCCTTGCAGTCCAAGGACCCGCAGGAGTCTTCTCCAGCACCAGAGTTCAAAGGCCTCCATTCTTTGGCGCTCGGCCTTCCTTATGGTCCAACTTTCACAGCCATCCATCCATTGCAACTGGGAAAACCAGAGCCATGACTATATGTACCTCTGTTGGCAGTGTGATGTCTCTGCTTTTTAGTATGCTGTCTAGATTTGCCGTAGCTTTCCTCCTCAGGAGCAAGCGCCTTTTAATGTCTTGGCCGCAGTCCCCATCTGCGGTGATCTTGGAGCCAAGGAAAATAAAATCTGTCACTACCTGTAGTATAGTACTATAGTATAGTCAATAAAATAAAATAAAATAAAATATGATATAGTGTAGTGTAATGTAATGTAATAATATAATATGATGTGATGTGATGTGATGTGATATAATAATATAATATAATATAATATAATATAATATAATATAATATAATATAATATAATATAATATAATATAATATAATGTAATGTAATATAAGGGATAGGGCCTGCCCACCCGCTCCTGCTCTATGTCGTCCTATTTAGGGACGTGTTTGAGACTGGGCGCATGGGTGGAAGGAAGGTGCGTGCGCAAAACGGTAGCAACATAATGTGCAATCCAACTCTGAGCGTAGTATAGCATAATATAATAATGTAATGTAACATTACGTTACGTTACGTTCAGTGGTGGGTTTCAAAAATTTTTACTCCCGGTTCTGTGGGCGTGGCATGGCTTGGTGGGCGTGGCTTGATGGGCGTGTCAGGGGAAGGATACTGTAAAATCTCCATTCCCTCCCCAATCCAGGGGAAGGTTACTGCAAAATCCCCATTTCCTCCCCATCAGCTGGGACTCGGGAGGCAGAGAATCGATGGGGCGGGGCCAGTCAGAATTCTTACTACCGGTTCTCCGAACTACTCAAAATTTCCCCTACCAGTTCGCCAGAACTGGTCAGAACCTGCTGAAACCCACCTCTGGTTACGTTACATTATAATATCTATTATTCCAAGCTTCCGGATGTCCTAAAATGAGGCTTCCTCCTCCCCTCCAGGGGAAATCTGAGGTGCTACGTAAACTAAACCAGGCGATTCTCGTTGCCCATGAAAGAGGCTTAGCTGGGATGC